TAATTACCTCAAAGCCCCATCTCCAAATACTATCATATCGGTGGGTGGGAGGGGTAGAGCTTCAACATATAAATTTCTTGAGAACATAAACATTCAGTGTATAACCAGGGAATAAGAGTTACAACTCCAAAATGACTTCTGAACATGTGTTGATATTTGAAAACTATGACATTGGAGGAGTTATTGTAATAACTGGTAAGTGTTTAGCCTAATAAAGACTTGGTGTGTAGTTTTCAAGAATTAGAAGTTTACCAGGACTTCTTAATTTTTGCCAATTTAGTGGACATAAAAGGCTATTTCACTATTACCTTAATTTGTATTTTTCTAATTTCTAATAAGGTTCAGTAGCTTTCAGATATTTATTCCCTGCTTGTGTTTCTTCCAAGAAATTCCTGATCATAATCTTTGCAAAGCATATCATTTTCTCCTTTTGGTGGCTTCCCAGCATATATGGGATAAGAGCCAAATTTTTCAGCATGGATGTAATACTTTCGATGTCTTTCTCCCTGTCTACCTCTCTAGCCTCCCCTCCCACTGTTTCTGTCTCCTTCTCTAGGGACTCAGAGCTGGTGCTTCATTGCTCCATACCTTTGTGGAATTTCTTCCTCACCCTTGCTCATTCTCGCGAATACTAACCCATTCTTTAAGGCTTGGCTCATGACATTTCCAGAAAGCTTTCCCTAACTCCTCTTAGGCTGAATTAAGACCTTCCAGATTCTTGTAGAATTCTGTGTGTAAACTTTGTGCCCCTTGCGGGTGCGGAGGAGTGAATACCTTTTATTTAACATTTTATTTACCCTAGTAGGGTGCCTGGCCCATAGCAGGCGACCGAATATAATTTGCTCTCCACTGACATGTATTGTATGCGTAAGTCTCAACAGAAAGTTAGAAAAAGGGATCTGAAGCTCATGAGGCAGTCTGGGCTAAAGATGCTGGTAGTAGCTAAGGTCATGTAAGGGGAAAGGGGCTACTATTTGCCAAGTGTATACTTCATAATGGGCACATGTTTAGGCATTTGTACATATATTTACAACTTTACAAGGTAGCTAATATCCTATCTAATAAGAGAAACATGGTAATTGGCGTACGACCGCTACCCTTCCCATTGGCTAATCAGGGCAATATGCAAATTAACTTCCAGCCAAGATGGTGGCCGGCAGCCAGGCAGCTTGAAACTAACATGAGGCTTGCTTGCTTTAGTGACGGAGGAAACCAACGTTCCCCGCCTGCTGTGCTGGCCTATGAGCCTGCAGTTTGAAACATTGTAACAAATATAGAAGCTAAACAAAACCCCAGAAACCTGGTTTCAGCAAGACCAGGATCTCAGAGCTGGAGTTATACATTGTTTCGATTATAGAACTGAAACAAAGGCCAGATACTTTCTTTCAGCAGCGGAGGCCTCATAGCTGGAGCCAGAGCGAAAGCTGGCCCAGAATAAAAAAAAAAAAAGACAGAAAGGAGCAGTTGGGAGCTTTAGT